CAAAAAAAAAAAAAAAAAAAAAAAAAAAAAAAAAAAAGTTTTTTATAATTAAACAATAACTGGAAGAACTAAAATAACCGTAAGTTAAATTATTTATTTAAATAATTCGTGTAATTATTCTTGCTGCAATTAAACGGCCGGTAATGTCCACATTTTTAATTATTTTCGGGCGTACCAGGCCCTCATGATAGTCACAAAAATTTATTTTTCTCTGACCATCTTCAATAGTATCTCGTCCGTGGCAAGGTTAAGTACCATTAAAACCATTTTTGCACCATCTCAAATAACATTCATATTTGTGAGATATACAGGGTGTCCCGCATCGTGATATCCACACTGAAACTGTGTATTCTTTGTGTCATTCTAAGTCAAAAAGTCTTAATACACATATGCCCTAAAGTCGCTTGTTTCGAAGTTATAGCGGGAAAAAAAAAAGTTGTTTTTAACACTAATGCGAGAAAAGCACCTTTATGACTTACCTTACCGCACTAGTAGTACGGAAATAACAACCATTACAAAAAATATTATATGTATGGCATGCGCGAAAGACAACGAACTACGTCGCGCATGAAGTTGCCGCATGAGCTGAAGCGAATGCGGCGATTTCATACTCGACATAATTCATTGTTTTCCACACTTGCCACACAAGATAATATTAATAAATTGACTGTCGTTTTAAGTGAAAACATCGCATAAACATAGCTTTGAAATTTCTCTTATCTACCAATTATGAGTACATTTTCCAATGATGAATATGCCGATATTCATTTTATTTATGGTTTCTGTAATGGTAACGCACGTGCAGCAGTAACAGAATATCACCGACATTTTCCTAATCGCAGAGTACCAGATCGAAAAGTGTTTAGCAATGTCCACCGATCTTTAATAAATAATATTGTTCTTATTTTATGCAATTTTGTTTTTTTTGTTATATCTTTGAACAATCGACTTTAGGGCATATATGTATTAAGACTTTTTGACTTAGAATGACAAAAAGAATACAGTTTCAGTGTGGACATTACGTTGCGGGACACCCTGTATATATATTACCCAGACAGCACAAAACGTCCTCAGGATCATCCTGAATATGTCCAGGATGGTTCAGGATATTTGTAGGATGTTTTAAGATATTATTATAAATATATTTTATGAAAATTTAATATGCATACATGATTACTTTCGGTTATGTAGGCTATTTAATATAATTTAGAAATTTTAAGTATTGTAATAAGTATTAATGTCCTATAAATGTCCCCTGGATAACCCCTGGATGTCTGCCCTGTCTATTATATTGAATGTCCTTTGGATTTCCAGAGGACATATACATGTGCAATTAACTGTTAACATTAATTTCGTTTAATATAAATATCATAATTGAATTTGATGCGCACATTTTCACATATTCAAAATTATTATTTATTTAATAATTTATGAGAAATGTTACTATGCGCAACATTCCAAAAACTTTACAAAAAATAGTATTCAACCGCTAGTTCGTTTGTTTACCGCTATGCAACGCGCAAACTCGTATTTGAGATTTGGTCATGAGAATTATATAAAGCTTGCAAAGAGCAACTAACAGGAAATTAAAAATATAATTATTTTTTATCAGTTCAATTTCTGATGCAATCCCAACATAGGGAATTCAGATATTGGATTGTTTTGAAAATATTACACGACTCAAACCCGGAAGCCAAACCTAAAATATTCATGTACAGCACGAAAACCTCAAATATTAAAGAACGTGAACTATTTTTAGTATTAGATTTTTAGTATTGGCAGTAAATAACAGAACGCAATCTTAATTTATATTTAAATTTTAGAATTTGTTCCTTTTAACGTATGAAAAATATCCCTAACATATCCTATAGAAATCCTTAAGATGTTCCACAGGATCTCCCTGGATTCTCCAGAGGCTAGTGTACGGCTATCATTTACTCTTCCTCAGGACATCCAGAGGAGATCCGAGGATTAAAATAGGATATCCTCAGGATATCCTACATGTATGTCCTGGATGCCCTTTGGACGTCCTAAGGACATCCTTGTGCTGTCTGGGTAGGTAAGGTACAAAGAATGAACAGTGCGATCGGAAAAGTAAAAGTCTTGTCGGTCGACTCGTTAATTATGTATGAATGAGAATACCCGTCCGACAAGTTTTCCGCTGACAATAAGTGGAAAAGTTCCGATGATTGCTTCGCTGATCGCGCGCGATTCCTGATCACGATCCGTTCGTTCTAAAACGATATTTCATAGAACGTGATCATTTGGCATGCAAAGAAAAAATATTGCAATGGTACACTGATTCACGTGTTCAATCGAACAAAGTGCATTCGCGGCTGGCACAACATGGACTTCGCCTTTTCTAATATTAGGACGAACTTGACAAAGAAAGTCTATTCGGTGTTGACAATGTACAATTCGTTCTTCGTTACGCCGTAATTTAACATAATATTTTAAGTTACCCTTTCATGCGATCCTACGATAAATAATCATAATAATCAATAATATCTAATAATTTTACGATTCTATTTATCTTACGAGATTCGTAATTTTTTGATTTTATTATTTTACGCAAAATATTTACGATTATTTTTCTATTAACTTTCTAACGGAGATTCAAAATTGAAGCTTTGAATTTAAATCGGAAATAAAGATGCAAGAAAAATATTTTCATTATTAGATCCATAATATCTAGCCACAAAATACCGACGATGCGACAATTAGTGAATGAACAAAACAAGTTGAAAGAGCGTCATAAGTATATCGTTTTTTTTTCTCTTTTCCGCATCTATTTTTAGATAGAGACTTTTATCTCCCGGTTGTTGAGAAGAATCGAGGCGACCAGCCACGCGGGTCAACGGCTCTTCGCTATTTATTCGCTTTGCAGAAACAGCCGGCGACGGAATCACGTATCGCATGCGTGACCATATGCACGCAAGAGCAACCGAATCGATCACAAAGAGCAGCAAATCAATCGTGATCTAATCGCGTGTTATTATTATCATCTCTAGCCAAACGGAATAATCAAGTGACGCCAGGCTGACTCGTGCTAACTCCGAATCAGGAGTGGCCGCGTGAGCTTTGTCTTTCCGTCTTCGAATGAATCATGCATAAACATGGTAGAAAAATATCAAGGAAAACGGTTGATCGACTCCGCTATGAGAAAGCGCATTTTAATATAAACAATTGTTCTTGTTAAATACTGTTCATTAATTAAATATAATTAAATGCTGTTATTAATAATTAAAAGTTAAACGAACAAATAGCTTCAATTATCGTTTATCCATACGCGATTGCTTTTGTACATATTATTTTCAATATTTGACTAAAAGCAAAATTTTAAAATTTGTATTATATTATATACGAGTATTTTATATCGTTAGAAATTTTTATGTAAATTAATCAACGATTAAATCAATCGGAGTTTGGTCGAAGTGACCCTTACACTTGATGAACATATTTTGATAGAGAGATCTAGATAATAAATTGAATATTTACTCGTGATTTTCACATCACACAGAACGAGATATCGATAATTACTGTCGGATTTACACCGATTACCGGTGGATAGAGTCACGAGAATCGATAAGAGTAATAAAAGTCCGCTCGTGACCACTCGGGGTTACATCACGTGCTCTGTGATAAGAATTGATAAGATACATCGAAACAAATAGGATTTAATGAACAAAAACCTCATTCATTCCGTCAAAATAAGCAATTCTTGGACTTTATATTACAATAATTATCGACACTCGCTGTTGACACTTGCGACTGTTAGCGCTACTACCCGCGTAATATTAATTAAGGATAAAGACTGCCCGCCGCTCGTTAGCGATGGGTCTTTTTATTATCTCCCCTTGATTTCCCAGGAGGGGATCGGTTAGCGACAAGACCATGTGTCGTGTCGCTCGATTTTTGCGGCAAGATCCGGATGCAAGCTAAGGAGTTCTAAGGGGCTTCTTTGCTTGCATTTTCGCAATTTCGTTTTCGCTTTTAGGTAGGATCTTTACGTTGCATTTTCGCAACGCATTAATTCTGCTTGCCTTGATTTCCGCGTTTTCGTAATGAGTGATTGCGCGGTCGCTCGGGCTTCGCGCGTGGCTCGCGTTGTCAGCGCTTCGCTCGGTCAACGTTCGTAACGTGATCTGTATTCGCGTTACACGTTGAGCAATGTCTTATCGTATAAAATAATATATCTCTAAAATAATATGTATCTAGTGATTCGTATATAGCCTTTTCGGGCTATAACAATATAATAATTGTGATTTTTTCTCTAAATATTTTTTTCCAGGTACATTTATTTATATATATATATAAATAATTATACATACACGTATAAATAATTTACATTTATTAATATAAATATATATTTATTCAAAAAATATTTTTTTTAACAAAAATTATACAAATTTAGAATATAATCGATCAGATTATTGGTATACTGATATATAACAATCCGTAGATAAATCAATTCAAAAAAAAAATGTTATAATATTGTAGTAATTTTAATTAGTAGTTGACAATTTGGCACTAATAATAATTTTACAATTTTGATCCGGTATTATTCACTTCTACAATAAAATTATTATTTCCCAAGTTTTCTTTTGCACTGCTATCCTATTATTTACAGCTGTCTAATTATTAACTATAAGTAGAATAAAAAATTTGTGGAAAATAGAAGATATTGTGTTAAATACACATGTATTTACAAAGGTATAATGATGAAATAATAACACGAGAAAAATTATTAAGTATAGCGATTTTAGAAATAAGTAACACGGGATCTTTATTTTGTCCTGCTATGTATTAATAACATTGAATAAAAAATAATTATTCTACAATGATTATGATATAGTAATCAACTAATAATGTTATTGCCTGATATAGTGTGTATGAAATTGCTCAAAGATGAAAAAAAAAACAAAAAAAAAAGTTTGTTTTAATATTAATAATCTTAGTTAACAAGTAATATATTTTTAATATATTACATATATATTAAACAATTTTTATATAGAAACTAATTTTTTTATCAAAAAAATCAACCTTCAAAATTACGTCATTTCCTTGCCATTCTAAAATAATAATCTTGAAAATTTAGTTTTAAATTAGTACTACTGGATGTGACCAAAAGAAATTTAACTATAAAAATACTATCGACTATTCTTTTTTTCTATAATAAACAAAGTCCTTGCCATTCCAAGATTCCAAAATTGTATAACTTTGAAATTAATTTTGAAATAGTACTATTGAATGTGACTAAAGGAAACTGAACTTAAAAAAAAACTTTATAATAACCAAACTTTTTCTTATATCATTTTTCTTCCTTATATCCGCTTGGTTCGTTATATTCTTTCGATCTCCTTTTTTGCCGTGTCTTCTTTAAATCTTGAAGGTGACCTTGTGTTCCAGCAACATATTGTTCTCTGGTGGTAAGGACAAGCAGGCTCGTAAAATGTTTTCAATGGCGTTCCGCTGTCGGAAGAGAGCATTCACCACCGGCGTTCCTTGTGGCACTAGAGGAGCCTTACAGAGATATGACAGAATGGAGAGCACGCTGTGAAAACTGGAAAATTCTTTGTCGTCATCGGAATCCATTCTCTTGAAAGTGATGCGAGAACAAAGCTCGGACAAGATGACGAGATCGAGAATGATAGGTGCCGCCAAGAGCGAATCCTCGCACGTGTTATGAATCACGATAGTGTTATGGCCACCCAGCATGATTTCAGAAATGTATTCATCCATAGCTCTCTTACTGTCACCTAGAAAAACAATATAGATAAAAAAAAAGCTTACGCATTTTTATGCATTTCTGCTGACATTACTTAAAATGGCAGACCATGCTTTGCTGCTGCCAGAATTCTGTCAACGTAATATGTAACATATTTTTGATACGCGTGCTCTTGGCACATTTGGCTATCTGAAACATTACTGATAAAATAATAGAATATAAAAAATGAAAACTTACCAACATAAGGAACGTATTTGATAACGATACAATGATCCGGCTTTTCTCCAGGTTTGTAGAGAATCTTGTTGGATTGCACCACATCGTCTATAACATTGCTCTTGGAGATCTGTGCATTGATTATATGTATGTAAAAGTATTTCGATAGATAATACATGTAATATGTACATATATAATATATATTGTAACATAAAATTAGAAATAAAAATAATATAATAATAAATACAAATATATAGAATAAATATATATAAGGTATAATAAATATATGATATATGTACAGTATCTAATAAACGTATAATATTTATTATAAAATATTATACGTATATTATTATTTTTAGTATTTATTCTACTTGATTTCTGGCGCCATGTATTTTTTATTTGATTTAATATTATTTATCCTATAAATTTTGAATTCTTCTTTAACAAGTATAAGCACTTGAAAATAAAGTAACTTTTGTTTTTATATTTTCCTTAGATTATGACACGTAATTACACACATATATTGAATCATAACACATATCGTATATATATTTTCTTTCTTACTGTATACCTCTTTTGAATGAAATTGCTGCGGTGCGGATAAATTGTATCCATCGTTATTTCCCAAATGGTTGTAACTAACGATCGATACCGGTTTAATGCCGGCCGATACGAGGAAATCTACGAGCACGGATTTCAGTTTTGTCTGGCCAGATTTGAAATCGTCACCACCAATAAATGTTTTCTGCCTTTCGACTAGCTCAAGAACGCCCGGCACGAAAGTATTTTGCGGCGATCCATTGATGTAAGTACACTGAAAATAAAATTGTTTAAATAAATCACAGAGGCTTTCCAGTTCTAAGTTGCTGATAAATTTTAAATGGGATAAGAGATATATATGTATGGTGAGTATATTTATTAATACTCAATTTATTTAAAAAAGTGAGAATGTAAAAAAAATATTTTCTTCAATCTCAATTATGAATAATTATTAGTAATTTACAAAATTAATAAAAATAAATAGAAAAATTAAAAAGGTAAGAAGAAAATTTCACATATTAGTTATTATTAATACCGATATAATTTTGTTGTTAGTTGCTATTACACTCTTATTGCGTGTGTGTAAATCGATCTTGCTAAATAAAAAATATATTCTCTTTACTAATTTATATTAAATAATGATATACAGAGTATTTTAAATAACAATAATATTATAATCGCTTTTCTTTCATTTACAAGATATTCTTTTCGAGGAATCCGATTGTGTAACTTGTTGCTTTGGAATTGTTATATTGCAACAACTAACGGTTTTTCTAATAAATAATAATCTAGAAAAACATTTCTCCATATTATAAAAAAGAGAAATAATTATATCAAAGTTTAATCTTACTCTTTCTAAAGCCGCCGCCACAGCAAACATGGTGCTGGGACTGATCTCCGAATGATCTTCCTTGATCGCCTTCAGAAGATTATCGGCCGTGTCATTAACGCCCGTTATGATTTCTGAAAATCTCTCGGTATTAGCAGTCCACAGGACAATTACTTGGTCCAAATCCTTCGTAGTTTTGAATTCCACGATATCATTACGAATTTTGTTGAGCTGTTCAGCCTTAGTGCCCATAATGATATTATTTGCTCTTTTGCTCTTTATAAACAAAAATTTCGATAAATATAACTATATTATGTAAGGAAAAAATTAATTAATTAACCATTAAAAGAAAATTAAAAGAATTGATATAATAAATATAGCACTCAAAGGTGTAATATTTCAAATGGAATATTGCAGCAATGTATCAGAAATATTACATGCCGAGTGGGTATACATATACATAGTGTTTTGGAAGGTGACCAAATTTTAAGAGAGCATATTCTATTCACTGCAAGAATGAAAAAAGTTATATTGTGAACATGGATCCAGAAATATCTTTCTTCCAAATTTCCTTATAAACTTTTTATTTATGATAAAACTCAACAACATCAATCAATGGATTGACAAAGGAGGACCAATGGCTTGCATGTTCTCCCGATTAAAATTTTCTGAAGTTATTTATGGAGGCATCTCTAGATTCTTACTTATGATATTCCTCTTACTGTTATGGAAATCCAAAATAACTCCAAAATAAATGTATTATCGTTACGTGTCACAAAATTCAAAACACTATAAAATTTTAAACATTTTCGACAATTTATAAGACATCCATGCGTTGTTGTAAAAAAAAAAAATCATTTGTAGCCATTTATTTAACGATGTGTTCTTGCCAAACACTACCAGAAACAAAAAATATTTATAATTCGAATTATACATCTAATATTAGTTACAATCACATTTCAAAAGCTGTATAGGCAAAATAAGGCTTGTTCCTATTCACATTAATAAACATCAAGATTATTTTTATTTGCTATTGGTATGCAAATTTAAAATTAGTAAAATAATGTTAAAATTTCGATATCTGAGAAAGCCAATTTTGATTTATTTAAAACTCTTCGTATATATTAAAATGATGGTCTTTTAAAGAAATTAAGATCAATATAATTTAGCACAAATATAATCTACGAAATAAATTTTGTCTAATTTGTTTAATATAAATTCATACATATCCTTTCCAAAAAAAAATAAAAAAATTATTATATATAAGAAAATTGAAGATAATAATATTGTATTATGGCGGAAATAACTTAATTAGATTTTGCAATTTACTATTAATTAAATAATTGTTATAATAAAAAATAAAATTGTTAAATTTTCAAGAGGAGATAAACGAAAAGCTATCCTATATAAAAAATTGAATAATCTAGATTCTAGATAAAAAAAATTCATATAATTTATTTAAATTGTACAATTTTTATTATCAAAGATTATCTTTTTTGCGACTCTATCGCACAGAAAATTGGATTTTACTAAAAATCTAATTACCTGGTTCGATGCAATGAAATCAGAGTAATATATGCTCTTTCTGGGCCGCATGTGTGTCATGTAGGGTTGTAATTGTACTTGTAAATTTACATCCAACACTTTAGCGCGCGTCATAGCGTCAACAAGATTTACATCTGAAATATCCCAGCCATCAATCTCGATATCATCGGGATTCACCATGGGCAGCATATTAGAGATAGGAACATAAATATCCCCTCCTTTGTTTTTTCTGCCTAATCTCACAGTGGACGCTTGCGTTAAAGAACCATACCTAAAAGCACAGAAATAATAAAGAAAAATAAAGCCATTGTAAAAAGGGAAAATAGAAACAAAGAAAAATAGAGATAGAAGTAAATGCAATAACATGTAGAAGTAAATGCAATCGTAAGATTAAGAAAATGTGATGTTATTAGTAAGTGTGCAGAAAGATATTCAAAATAAGAAAATAGAACAAAATTAACACATAAAATATATATTATTTATGTACAATAACACTTAAACCAAACATACTGTGTAACATACATAATAAAACATATAGTGTATTAATAATGCTTTAATAATATTAATAATATATTATAAACACTAACAAAAAAGTTAAAATTATTGATGACTTTGACATCTTAGATAAAGAAATATTAATTTTGCATACATAACAAATAATAAGTATACAAAATTATATCTAAAATTTAAATACATATACACATATATATTAATATGAATCTCTTCTATATATTTTCAAGATCAATTTACTTGCTCGATAAATGTAATATTTCAAATAGTCTATAATTAATATATGACAAATAAATAAATAACTCTGAAAGACGTACCAATTTGCGGTTTTCTCACCCTCCTTTGTCTCCCACTTCAATTTAAACTTATTCGCAATTAAAGCTGCTGTTACGGTGCTGCCGTTGTTACCACCCCAGCCCACCAACATCAATCCCAGCTTGGGAACCTTCATCATGGTCCTGATCAGCAATCTCGTCAATGTGGGTGACACCTACAAAGAATTTCATGCAATATAAAAATAATATTTCAAAATTTTTCTTTGTTTTTTAAAATACAAAAATATATATAAAAAAATATGGTAAAAGTGACGTTTGGGGGATGCAACCCCGATGACCTTGACTTTGACATATGTTGTCAAGGTCACCCTCCTGAGTGATCTTCAGAAGGTTTTAGCCGTCGCTCGTTTTTTATTAAAAAGTTATTAACTAAAATATTATTTATTGAATGTGTTTAGTACTAATACATTTTCACATTTTAGACACGTTATTTCGCCACGAACAACTTTCTTCTCACACAAAAAATTCCACAAAGAATCAAAATTGTATGTCAAATTGATAAATTCGTGCAAATGCATGTTGAAAATTAAGGAAATCTTGAAATTATCCAACTGACTGATACACGACTATATGACATACTGAGACTGGTGATGTAGATACGTGTTATATACAAACATTCATTACATTCCCAAACACTGATTTGTTTTGATTTCTTTTGATATTCTTACTTAGTATGTTACTCACTATTGTTGTTTATATGGCAGTCGGCTTGAATTACCAAGCTTATATTTTAAAGATAGAGAGAAATTAAATTAGAAATAGGTTTGGGTTGGGTTATTTCTTCCGGAAGTGGAGCCCCCCGTAGAGGGGCGGAACCCACTGTTTTATGCATACACTTTTTAATGAGAAGTGAAATTCCACATGGGTTTACAACTTTTCACGCAAAGCAAGATTCAACTCATGTACAACCCATGTAGAATCTCACTTTGCTTTAAAAAGTGTATACATGGACACAGTAAATTCCGCCCCCCTCCCCTACGGGGGGGCTCCACTATCAAAGAACTAAACGCATTGGATTGTGTTGAATCTCGCTTCGCGTGGAAAGTTGTAAACCCATGTGAAACCTCACTTCGCATTAAAAAGTGTATGCATAAAACAGTGGGTTCTGCCCTTACATCACCAGTCTCAGTATGTCATATAGTCGTGTATCAGTCAGTTGGATAATTTCAAGTTTTCCTTAATTTTCAACATGCATTTGCACGTATTTATCAATTTGACATACAATTTTGATTCTTTGTGGAATTTTTTGTGTGAGAAGAAAGTTGTTCGTGGCGAAATAACGTGTCTAAAATGTGAAAATGTATTAGTACTAAACACATTCAATAAATAATATTTTAGTTAATAACTTTTTAATAAAAAACGAGCGACGGCTAAAACCTTCTGAAGATCACTCAGGAGGGTGACCTTGACAACATATGTCAAAGTCAAGGTCATCCTGGTCGGAGCTGCATCCCCTAAACGTCATTTTTACCAATTATAGTATTGTGCGTGCATAAATGTATAATTTCAATATTTTTTATCAACGCTCATACACACAATGAATGTGTATTTTTGATCATTATCGTGTGTGTCTTTAAATGTGTAACTATTTGAACACTGCGACAGTATTATTAATAAAAATATCACTAATAATTGATAATGTAATAAAAATATTCTTAAAATAATATTTATGGTCTTTAATAATTTTAAAAAAATACAGATTGGATAGATAAATGTGCGCTATGCGATGTCAATATGGATATGTTGTGTATGCATGTAAATACATACAATATGAAAGAACACGCATGTGCGAACTTGTGAAAATCGATTCTAGAATAATCGATTCTAGAATGATCTAGAGCAGTGCTCGGATTTAGTTGCACAATTCGGCCCGATTCCGTGGCTCACGCCTATTGCCCCCCACTCACCGCTCATACGTTAGCGACGAGTCACCAGATACGCGTAACTAAGGAGCGCGACGCTTTGTCTCAGGAGCGTTCGTATATAAGAATGTCCAAATATAATAGTAAGAATACTTTTCTAAATGCACCGCGAAAAACGGAATCGGGCCGAAATGTGCAACTAAATCCGAGCACTGATCTAGAGAGAGAGAGTACTCTTTCCACCAATGGTAAATTTATGTCCAAATTTAAATAAGTAATTTTTAAACAAAAATAACACAAGATAAAGATTATTAACAAAACTTTTCAATTTTATTTTTATCTTATAATTATCTTATAATTAGTGTGTTATAAATTTGGCTCTTCTCTTTTTCAGTCGTTCATGACGTAAAGTTAGTTAGTGTTTCAACATTTTCGCTAAGGAATGATCGACTCCGAATTGATAAGAGTCTTTTATTAAAAGAATATCGTACCTTTTTGGAATATTTTTAATATACGTATATTCATCATATAATGGCAGCAATAACGGAAAATCTGCTGTTTAATCAACAACAGTATAGCTCATCAACGAACAGACTGATATTGATATTGATGACCGGCCGGCACAAATATCACACAATGACATGACATACATACTTGAAATAGATGAAGGTCGACAAATGTATGGATTCTTACCGTATATGTATTATCATCGTTCTCATCGCCCTCGGCCACGCTAGTTGTCCGATACTCGTACTCTGCTTCGATGAAATCCTCCGAGTAGCGCACCGTCGGTGAATTCACACGCACCTTCAAACTCGCCATCTTCACGAAATGTAATATGTATATATAAGAATGTACAAAAAAATGAGAAGAATATCCAAGCACACAAGTTGAAACTTGTTAGTTGCCGGCCTGAAAACTATCGAGTGTCATAAAGTGTGAATTCGAAAATTCTGATTAATTCTGGTCTGATGTCGATTAAAGATTGCACGTAAGTATATGTATACATACTGTATTATCGATGATAATCACCGGTTCTGAAACTGATACACACAAATTCGGTTAGATTCAAGTTTTCATATCTTATTCTTGCACTCTCGCGCCTATTAAAAACACATAAAAGGGTCGTTTCTGCACGCTCTTTGGCATAACAAATTCGGAAATATCTATGAAAACAAGTAATTGGTATACTTCGATTTTTTTCTCTCGAAAAATCGTGAGTTATTTTAGCACAATTGTAAAGACAGAAAAATGATCTTTAGGATATTTTTCGACAAAATTTGAATAAGGTTTATTTGATGTGGAGCATCGGAAATCCGAACTTGCCAAAATTGTATTGTTTAATTGATAATTGCGCGTATGATTCTTCATGATAGATTATCGAGAATGAGAAATGAAAACGAGACAAGTTAGAAAAAAGAAAAAAAGGATGAGATGGACACAACTCACAGACAGTGTTCTCGATCTTTCTCTCGTGGCTATTCACGACGATTGCCGAAACGTAAATACCAATAAATACGGCGCAGCCGTCGTCATCGCATCGCAACGTATTATTAGGGCCGTTAAGGGCTCCCTTTTTCGCGCATGCGCATTGAATGTAGTATCAATGAAGTAGTTAAATTTTATAAAATGAGGTCCTGTATGGCCCCCATTTAATAGTTTTTAAAATTATTTAAAAATTTTTGGAGAATTATTTAAAAACATAAAATAAAAAAATATTCACAAATTATATTTATTTATTTATTTATTTATTTATTTATTTACATAGCTATTTAACATGTCCTCTGTAAGATCCCGCCAAAACTGAAGCATATCTGTCATATATGTATATGTGACTGTAATATCACAGTGTTACGTCACGTATGCGTAGTGTTGCTATACATTCTCTTTTCCCGGACACCGTCCTCTTTTTTAGGGCGTCCGGAGACGTCCGGGGGAATTTTTCGAACATTATAAAAAAAAATAATTGGTCTTAAGAAAAAGTATGTAATTATTTACAATGTATTTTTTTAGACAGTTATTTGTTGTTTTTTTTACACTAATATATTTGTCTCATTATTCTGTACATAAAAGTATTACGGTAAGATTATCGAAAATTAAATATTTTACGAGATATTTTATTTTTTATATCAAAATATAAGTCAGATTAAGATATAAAATAATTCAGAAAATACTTAATGAAAAAATGCTTTATTATAGTGTTTTGAAAAGCTCTCGAGATAAGCTACAAGAATATGCAATAAAAAATGGAGGGTTCCATTTAAGAAAATATCGATCACATTGACCTAGCCTTGAAAAGGTCACTCAAGCTCAAGTCCATATTTTCATCATGTGGCTCCCTTCAAACCATGCAACTTTTGTCTGAAACATTTGTTTCTACAATCAAAAATAAAAAAGTTATTGAGGTGGGTAACTTAAAATAATTCATCCTGTATAATACATATTGATAAAGTGTAATATATTTAAAATTATAATATATATGTGTATGTGTTTCTTGATTACAACATAGAAGGAGCAAAAAGATAAACTGAATTGAATCAGGTATTGAATGAAGGCGTTGAACGAGCTAATCAAGTAGCCTGTATTGAGCTTATAATTTTTTTATAACACGCATATTTGCCGAGTAAAATTCTTTTGACCTCTACTTAAAAGATGTTACTGTGATGGAGATCATTAAATGATATTCGTTAATGTGCTTGACAATATTCTACATGTTTCAATACGTAAGATTATTGTTGTTTTTTAATGTTAATACAAATTAAAATATAAAAATAAAAATATTATATAGATTTCCAGAGAGAGAGAGAGAGGGAGAGGGAGAAGGGAGGGAGGAAGGAGGAGAGAGAGAGAGAAAGAGAGAGAGAGAAACTGGTATACTAATTGAAGATTTTACAAATAGATCTTTTTTCCGTTTGTGTAATATATATTTTATTTTTATAAATTATATTCTATGTAAAAGAAAAAGAGAGAAAGAGAGAGAGAAGAAAGAATTCATAAAACTATTCATAAATTAACAATATGCTTATACAATATAAAATGAATCATAAATATACTTTTTGATTTAATTGTTAACAATTGTTTGATTCTCCTGATCGGTTATTGTGAATGTAGGGATTTCGTAAGAATCTTTGTAATACCATGACGACTCGCCATCATTATTGAAAAAAATATTTCTCGATGATGTAGTTTGTCTCGATCTCGCTGGTGGCAGCAGAAATATTAATGACATTGCCATGATAATATGCCATATACTATGAATATACTGCAACAAAATATATTAAAAATGAAAATTTGTTGCTCCTTCAAATATCGGAAAATGTCTATAGTTCATTATTTCTATATGTAATTATTTGATTACATGACATTTCTTCGTATACTATAATTATAACTGTTTATGTATACGAATATGTATATAACAAATTATATCTTTTTTCCAATGACAAAAAAACTTTAAATAACAAAAATATTGTTTCTACATATAGAGAAGAAAGAGCATAACATGTTTTTATTTAATCATAATAATCTATTTAAATTAGCCGAAAAATAAAAATTATATGTATATGCAATCCCATATCCTATACAAGGTGTCCTAAAACTACCGTACTTCCTCTTAATGGCAGATTCCTTAGAACATTTCAAGACGAAAGTCCTAATACAAAAATGTCGAGGCTGTAATAGTTTTTAAACGGGAAGCGATTATGTTTTACGAATAGCTGAGATTTCGCGCGCTCAGGCACGGCGAAATAGTAGACACCTTCATGGTAACATTGATCAATCATATAAATTATTATTAATTATTATATATTAATTCTAATTATAGAGATTACAATTGACTAAAAAAAATTATTCGTAAAATCTATGTGCGCGCGCTGCTGCGTGCGTGCGTGCGTGCGTGCGTATAAACAAAAACGTACTTGATAATTTTCCTCCGTTTCAATGAAAGAATAAAGTAATAATCCTGCAATAGCGAAGAGTAAACCTAATAGTATTTTCCGGCTTGGTTTCTTGCACTTTTTAGATTTAACATTGCGATAGATATACGTGAAAATCTACAACAAAATATTCCCGTCTTTCATCAATACTTAATAGAATATTTTTCAAATATCGCTGAAAAATTTTTATAGTTAATTAATATCTCCATGTATAATCATATTTTTTAATATATGCAAGGGCTGTCCATAAAAAAATCGGGCGCTTTTTTTGAAGATCGGTTTCTTTATGGATATTCCCTTGTATATATATATATATGTGTGTGTGCAGGCACGGCGAAATAGTAGACACCTTCATGGTAACATTGATCAATCACTTTGACAGCTGAAGTTGAAACATATCGCAAATTTTTACTTAAATCATTTTTGAGATGCCTTTAGTTCTTGCATCCATTATTCGTAAAAAGAATGTATAAATGCAATGCGTAGAGAAGCGGGAAAACCTACAATGACAATGCTATTGTAAATTTATGCTGCTATATTATTCTGCTATTAAGAGAAAGTATTTCGGCAGTTTTAGAACACTCTGTATATAAGAATACATATATATATCCCATGAAATTATTATAAATTATTATTAATTAT